CAGAAGTAGACAATTTTGGTTCCTCCACGCAAATCCCAAAAGGTTTTATAACTTCACTCTGACTAGTAATACCTTGTAAACTTGTGGAGTCAGAACTGTCCTCTGGGACTGTAGCTCTCCTCTGTGACACTCTATTCAACAATGGCTTACCAGTTGCAACTACAGACTTCTTGACCACACCGTTATCGTCACACAATTTGGAGTCAGGCCTGGAGCTTACATTTAGCTTACCACTGAACTTGCTTACTGGTTCACAGTTCACCTTTGTATGCACCTCTTGCAAACGTGTAAAACACAACCGTGCTTGTCTTGCATCTTGTAACTCATCTGTTGAGGATGTACTACGAAACCTGTTACACTCACTAGGTCTATATGCATTACTAGACATCATGGAGCCTTCTCGATATCCACCTCTCTGAGACCCTTTCGTCATCAATTATTGCATTTTGCTCTCAGACTGCTCTATTCTAGGGGTGAGATACAATAGACTGGCGAACTTGCTCATAGATAGATTGACGCTATCTTTTACCAGTTTCAGGATATCATCAAATCTTGGCTCGATACCCCCATCCTCCACACGGGAGCTTATCTTCACCCACTTCCTTTGCAGTCGAATAGGTAGACGTCGTGCTATTACTTCTAGGATGAAACTCGAGTTGAGGTCACTCATGCAATTCATCGAAATCAATGCATTCTTGTAAATCAGCAAATTATCCAAAAACTCAGTGAGTGCCTTGGAGTCATCTTGTAGTTTAGTACCATTACCTTTGACAGCCCCGAATAATTTCCCTACAATCATCGAAGGTCTTCCAAACCTTTGACGTAGTATGCTCATAGCCTCGTAGTAGCCCACTTTTGGCTTCATAAACTTACAGCACTGTATAGCTCTTGCAGCAACTCCAGTGCAATACCTCATCAAATACATTTACTTCATTTCATCAGTTAATAAAAAACCACTTAACATGATTTCAAATTCCCTTACAAACTGTAAATATTCAGCTGGGTTTCCGTCGAAACACCGTGGTTTAAATTTAGGGAGTTTGATGTTCCTATTATCCCTGAATGGCGAAACAGTAACATCAACCATGTCAGGATTAACATCAGACACATCGTTACAAGTAACAGACAAATCACCATGACTTACTTTCCTGTTTGCATCCAAGACGCTCTGTCCCTTCTTTGACCCAGGCATTGTTGGACTTGACCCAATTCCAAAAACGTTCCAGATATTGCTTGTTCAAAGAAGACTTCGCCGGCACCAGGAGAGATGAACGGTGACTATCCAAACTGTCACCCGCTATCTGAATCTTCACTGTCAGAAACTGTCAGTCACGTCTCGTAAACCGTTAATGCCCAGCTCTTGCTACGCTCGGGATCACGCTGTCCCTTGAAGTTTCTCAGAAACGCTTAGTAATAACGGACGCAAACACCAAAACACCGATTGGCTACTCGAGAATTCTTTATTATAACACCAACATATAGCCAACTTTAAAATTAAGCTTTAACTAGGTTCTATGAACAAATATTACAATAATTAAATTGGGGAAGTTGGGTTTGAGCAAACAACCATGAATTGATCGTTCAATCTTCAACTACATTGACATATATCGATTAGCTGTCCGTCAATCTATCTCTCTATATTTCGCTGTTAATACATATTTTATGTACTGAATTGATATCATCTGTCATCTATCTGTTGGTAATTCTGTTTGTTTCTGGACGACTTCCACTTGTATCATCAACCTGAGAAGGAATGTAGGTGTACTGCTGTAAATCCTACAGTTCTTCAAGGGTAGTTCGTCAAGCCAGAATTCACCACAATTGATGTATTGATTGTACATATGTTTGTGTCAAGTAATTGAGTGTGTTCCAAGTAATGTAATTGTTGGTTAGTCTTGATTATGTCCAGACATCCCTCAACCTACAATCGTCTACGTGAGAAGGGTTGCAGGCGTACTCGTGTGAGTCCTGCGATTCTTCAAAGGAATCCCATCGTGGCATGATCTGCGAGTTTGCGTGTACAGTTTGTATATATGTTTGATGTGTCATACCAATCAGTGTGTTTGGATTCACTGTGTTTCCTTGTTGTTTTCGTACCTCGTTGTTATTGCATAACTTTGGTAAATTGTTCGTTGTGCTTACCTCTTAAGTTGTTTCTAGTCTTCTACATCCGTGAATGAATTGATTGATGTTAAAGACAGCAGATAGGCCGTATACGTTGGGGAGGCTAGTGCTGAGAATGACATGTACATGGCGATGAGGATTAGCTTTGGTTTCGACACGCCGGGGAGCGTTAGCGTATACGACTGAAGCTTGCGTGCGTCACCGTTACTAGAACTGAGGCAGAACGGGTGACAGGCGATCGAAGTGGTAATTGGTAGTGAGTAGAAACGAGGATGTGCGTAGGCTATCATGAAGTGCTGCTATGGTTACGTTGCTTTCTGCAATAGTCATCCTAGCAAGTGGCGATTGTGTTGCAAGATGTCAAGAGGATGCCTTTAACTGGAAGGCGCAGGTCGTCGTCGATGAGCGATATTGTTTTGTGGGTATGCTTTCTGTGCATTGGGCTTTTATGTCTTGCTTTCCCATTTTGACGTAGTCCCGGTTGGCCGAGTTTCCTGAATTGGCAGTTCTGTTAGAGGTTATCATCGCTATGGAAAAAGGGATGGACCCTTTTTTGCCGAGGAGTGTCAATGGAGGTGAACATTGAACGTTTGTTTTTGGAACTGGTGGCCATTGGTGGGCAACTCGAAGGTGCGAATGGTTCGATCGTGTACAAGTTCGACAAGGACAACCAAAAACGAATAAAAGTACTCCAGATTTTTGTATAAAATATTTGTTTATAGACTTTTACTGTTCTCCGCACTAATTGCCAAACAATATAATTTCCTTCTTACAATACTGGTGTTTTGGAGTTAAAGTCGAAGAAAGTACATGGTATTTATCGTTGCAGAGCGTCTCCGTAGCAATAGGAACTTAGGGATAATCTCCTTGACACCGCCCTTTTTTAACTAGTGGTAATACAGCCGGGCCGATTACAGTGTCTGATTCATCAACATAGATGCCTAACGGTCACGTTGGATCCTTATGCATTAGAAGTATAGCAACCGCCATAGCTTTTTAACATGAGTGAAAGCATTTCGAGCAGACGGGTCAAATTCGGTTCACTTGTTATTCCCTCGAAGGAGGTCTGTCAATGGTTGAATCAGAGAGGCACAGTTGGGAATAATCCGTCGGTGATAACTTCCCAAACCGTTAAAAATTGCGGAGACGTTTCGCCGTCTGTGGCTCTGGAGGGTTCAGTATCGCCAGTGGGCGCATGCCCTTGCAATCAACAGTGCGACCCAGGAAGTCGAGTGAGTCAACACCTATCTGACACTTTTGAATATTGGTGGCAACACCACTTTGGCGTAACCTTTCAAATGCCAGGTCCAAGTGTCTAATGTGAGTTTCCCTGTCTGGACTGGCAATGAGGCAGTCGTCTAAGTGTGCGTATACAAAGTCGAGACCGCGAAATACTTCGTCGTTGAAGCGTTGGAACGTTTGGGCTGCATTCCGGAGACCGAATGGCACACGTAGAAATTCAAAAAGCCTGAAAGGCGTAATGATAGTCGTTTTAGGGATATCTTCTGGTGCCATCGGGATTTGGTTATACGCTTTAACCAAGTCGGTTTTAGAGAATATAGTTGCGCCAGATAATGTTACCGTCAAGTCTTGTATATGGGGCAACGGATAGCGATCAGGGTTGTTTTGGCGTTCACTCGTCAATAATCACCGGTGGGTTGCCAATCGTTGCCATCTTTTTTCGGTATCAAAAACCGGTGTGGATGCCCATGGGCTACTTGATAGCCGAATGATGCCAAGGGTGAGCACATGGTCGAACTCATTTCTAGTGAGTCGTAGTTTTTCAGGAGCAAGTCGTCGTGCTCTAGATGTCACGGATTGTCCTGAGGTTACGATGTGATTCATAAAATCGCTGGTTATGCACGGTAGATCATTAGACGGGCAATTAAGTTCCGGATACTTGTCATTGGTTATGCATAATTTGTCTACATAGAGATACTTATTTCCTAACAAGGATTCCTTTAGCATTATTAGTTGGTTTGTTAGATATTTTTGATTAAAGCTTGATTCCACACCGTATTTTTCGGTACAGATAAGGAATTTTCAGCATGTGATATAGGTAGCCCAAATTTTGCAGACCGACCATAGATGTCAGGCGGGCGTCGGTAGGGGATCGAACCCCGGACCATGTGCATGGTTGGCGAGAGTCTGTGCCACCGACGCAATTAATTGATATGGTAATGAACAATAAATTTTGTTCGAAACGTAATCCAGTAATTAATACCGTATCATCGTGTGATACAGCTAATAAACAAACTAACGTGGAATTACTTATTACCACACTGCCCAAGTCTTACACATATATTCCCTCACCATGTCTTTCGTCTTCCGTATTTTCAGTGCAATGGGCATAACTAGCTGGTGTCCTAGAACACTTCCATATTTCCCGGATGCTCTGTTCGTTAATCCAACTTGAACCCTCAGAAATTTTACAATGAAAAGAATACCTTGCCGGAATACAGTGCTGTGTTACATTGGGCTTCCTGAGTTTCGACTGTGTCGCAAATGGTTTAGGCAGGATCCGCCACTACGAAATGATGTGCCCTTTAACAGTTCAGTGAAGAAACTTCTCAGCAAGTTGCTGCAACTTTGTCGACACTCGAATATAAAGCATCTCATTTATGCAGGATATATCCAGTAACGAATACATTAATAAATCACAGTGCCCAACCAACATTAACCTAAGAAAGTGGGAATTGTACATTCATACTGTGTCAGTAACTGCAGATACACCTTAACGCCTATGCCTTCTAAATTACTACTCCACATTATTATGGTCTGATAGTTTCTGTCAATATAGTGAGAATTATTTCGTAGACTATTAGATAATTACTAGAAAAGGGTAAACATGAACCATTTTCTTCTATTGTCAAGTAATTCTCTGAAAATATCCTCATACTGGATGTTGGTTGTACAGAGGGCTTTTTGTTTTTTGCGTTGCAATACGAAGGGGGAATTTATTTTTCACACGTGGATAACTAATGGATGCCATCTTTGGATTTTATACCTAGTAATGACACAAACCTTCATGAACGCGCACTCAACACTAGTGTTGATGTCTACTTACTTGAAGATTCAGACATGAATGTCCAGAGTCATGATGAAAATGCCCCACTTCTCGGAGATGACAGTGATAATTTTTCTCCTGATTCATATTCACCACTTGTAAATGATGTGCACAACGATGCAGACTTCAACAAGGTTGTGCAAATGTCGTTGCAGGCCATTGAATCTGGAATCCATCCTGAAAGGATTTATCAAGGATCGAGTGGTAGTTATTTTGTGAAGAATATAGATGGCGTGAGTTTCACTACTGAATTGTTTGTTTTTCTGTGTATACTTGTTTCTGTCAAACCAATTGTTAGAACATATTTTTCGTCGTACGTATATATTTATATACGAGGAGGGGACAGCCTTACTTTTTGAAAGCTAGTATGTACATATATATTCACGGATGTTCTCTCTAAGAGTGTGCATGTTGAGTTAGTTTCACCTCAGAATGCAAATATGGACGGAATATTTCTGCAACCAAAGCTGTTTAATAGAGGTGAGATGCATTATTGTGTCTGCTGAACTTACTACAGTATTAGGATGCCTTTAGAAAACTTGTGGTCAACACATTTGACCACTCCATTGTCTCTTTTTAATCCTGAAGTCAATGCGAACCAGGTGTGCAGTATCATACACGTATTTTGACAAATCACATGCGGAGCACCCCCGGATTCTTGTACAAGGCATTCTTAGTTCACTCCACCTTTCGACGTCTCTAACTATACAAACTCTCAAATACTTACTCCAGGTCACTGGCACCTCACCCTATAAAGTAAATCCTCAGCCAGAGTTAAGTTCATCAGTTTATCTAAAATAAAGTTAAGTAATAGTAATTTGGTGTCTGACAGACAACACTGGTTCTTGTCATTTCAGATGTCTTTTGTTCATCAACTCACCCGACTGAAAGAGTTCAAGTAGGTTGCACTGATTAGTATAACCTACTTCGTGCGTTGGTGTCACGGTGGTAGAATGCTTGCGGACCACACATGTGGGCCGGCTTTCGATTCCAAACCAACGCACTCCTTTTCCTTGCTAAGCCAGTAGTAAGACTAGTAAAGAGGAAAGGTTGGGCATGGGGCTAGCAGCCTCATCCCGTAAAAATAAACACGAATGTTACCGAAACTTTAGGCCTCTAAATTGAAGCTCTGTGTTCCACTGGGAATATAAAGGAATAATATGTCTTCGAGACTCCCTTCGTTTTATATTACCACAGCAATTTTCGATCGATGGATTCAAATTCCACCTCTAAGTTTAAAAGTATGGATTGTAAGTTCTCTGTGTGTGTATGTCTCAGAACTCATCGGAGTGAGAACGTCAGATCAATACACCGTCATGGTCTGAAAACTATGGTTTTCTCTATGTTGTTCCTTCAGATAACCTTTGGAGTATTAGATATAGTAATCAAGCAAATCTTATTACGATAATTACAAGTGAAATTACTCTCTTTTTCTAGAAACTGAGACAATCAACGATCTGCATCAATCTAACGAGCCTGTCTCAGATTCTCAAAAACTGACTAGTATCTTAGTTTGTCTAGTGAACAATTCATTACCATCACTTACTCTTGTTACTTACCATAGTTTTAGATTAGTGACAGTTTTTAGAACCTCGATTACATCTCATTTAGCCGGATATTGAATGGTAAAACATCGCAGTGTGGCTGTAGGTCACTTGAAATGCTCCACAAAGTAATCTTCAAAATTTTCCAACAGTTTCACACATGACAAGTCTGTGTGTGATCAGATTGTTCGAAATGTTTTGCGCAAATCCATTACACGATTCAGACATATTACGTCTTATTGCTTTACCTAAATTCATAAATGAAACTAATTGTTTTAAATATTTAGTGTTCTTATTTTGTAGAAAAAAATAGCAGTATTTAAACCTAAAGATGAAGAGCCTTATGGCAAGCTTAACCCAAAATGGACTAAATGGATGCACAAACATTGTTGCCCGTGTTGTTTTGGCCGTTCATGTTTAGTTCCAAATCAAGGCTATCTATCAGAGGCCGGTGCTAGCCTTGTTGATCAAAAACTCCGACTTAATATTGTTCCCACAACAAGAGTAGGCAAAGTTTCTTGTTTTTTTCTCATACTTATTTTAACACTTGACTCACTAGCATTATCATAATTGTCACATGAATTTTTGTTGTTAGGTCTTTTAGTGAGAAAAAGCCACCTGTATTCTTCACTAGATGGAAATCTTCCTTTTATTACTGGTTTTAAACATTTTATAATAACCGCTAACATGTGAGCGGAATAAAATTGACAAACTGAAAAATAAGTGACAATAAGGGTTTCTAGACGACTAATAAAAGTATCATTGTTGAAAACAGTGCAAAAGTGTATTTTCTGATTCAAGTCTACATGATTATAGTGTGGAGGTTGTGGTTTAAGCCATTGGTCTTGCGGTCAAACTCTGTCTTATTCTTCCTTTACCCCAGGAGACCAGGTAGCGTAATATGTCCTCACTTCCTGTTTGGATCATAGTCTAATGCATGAAAACTGTTCTTGATAATTAATTTATAGCATTATTGTTACTGTTATTATTGTCGCGTAATTGTAGCAGTTTGTTATTATTCTCAAGCCTAGTTGAATCGGCAGCTATGTTCAGCAATAAAGCATAAATTTACTATTATTTCGCTGCTAAAGATAAATCCAAATTGTATTATTGTGATAATATATGGTTGTTCTGGGATCACTGTGGGATTCTGCTGCAGTCAGCATCAGGAACAAGAATTGGTTTTTCAACACCTGTGTCAAGTCAGCCGCACATATGTGCAAAGTTCTATGTCGAAAACAGATAGACAGACAGACAGTGTCAAGTCAGCCGGTGCATCCATATGATTCAGAGACTTAGCATGTCAACAAAGCATTTAAAACGGGCCTCTGCACACTTCAGTCGACAGTCACTTTCTTTCAATATCACAGATCATATGACCGGCCACGCGAAATAAGTAACGAGGAACTTCGGCTACAAATCAACTAAGGATGGAGATATAGAGCGTCTGATGGTGGCAATGAGGAAACTGAGGAGAAAATGCCAGTTTATTGACAATCGTGGAGCCAACTACGTTTGGCAGGGAACAGAATAGGACAGAGATGTGCTATTGAATCTCTCCGTGTTCCAATTGGAACCCAAGGGAACAATAATAAATGTGTGGTTGTCGTTAAATCATATCGTAATTGGGTGATTTGTACTAGACTGCATATTAAGTCTGTACATTCATGTACTATCTGAATGCATATTTTGTGTTTAAGTGGAATATCTCAGGGATATTTTATTTTCATCAAGTTAATCACAAACACCAAAGATTAGGATTTGAAAATTGTTCTGTTCATCAGGTCTAGATTACACTATGACCTGTTGTCATTGTAAATATTATGTATCGATTTGAGAGTTACAATTCCAATTAGTGGGTCCGAAATTCAAACTTCATTTCACTTGCTTTCATATGAACAGCCTGGTAGTATTATAAATCCTTCATATATATAACATTTGGAACATAAATTTTTACCGTGTTGGCGACTCTCATTGTTAGTCACTAGTTCTACTTTGCCTCATAAGATTCCTTTTAGACGGCGATTCATAAGTGACAATGTTTTGTTTCATACATTGTTTGCAAACTTGGATAACTTGTAGTTAAAATCGCAGTGCCAATGAATATTTCAGTCGGAGTTTTACAATAAAACAAACAACTAACTCTTAGCTAACATGCTAAGGATGAATAAACACCATTCATTATCCAATTGCTTATTTTTGCTTGAATAGTCTTTGGCAAATCATATATCCTACAGTCAGTTGTGATTTCACAGACAGGATTTTGTGCCCTTATTAGAAAAAGCATGATTTACGCCATCCGTATTTATGTTTATAAAGGTGTAGAAATCGATCAACGTTTGTGAAGAAATATCAAAGGTTATAGTATAACATATTGAGTTTAAGAGTTGCCATCTATATATGTTTTGTACTTCATTACAGACTACTTTTATTGGCGAAATCATCTAAAATCATAAGCAAATTAATATTTGTATTATCGATAATGACACTATCTGAGATGGCATTGGATGTTGACAAGCTGGTGTTGAGGTAATGTCCAGTTCCGACGCAGGCGACTGATATGTTAATGTCCGTTTATCATCAGAAGATTGCCAGTCTTTAGGATCGCCTGTAGGTTATATCCTACTAAGAGTTTTGACTTAGATCTTAACTCTACTAGTTTGATAACAAGTATTTGACACCTAGTTATACACAGAATTTGTTAAAAGTAATGGTTTTTGGGTATGGTGTAAGACATTCTTGTTGATATTAGAAAACATTTGTGTGCTTTATTAAGTGTAACAAATAGAACTGCAGCACTTTTGTGCAAAAGTTCTATGCTGAAAATTCAGTTAGCCATTTATGGTTTGAGGATATTTTACTGAAGCATTTGTCATATAAAAAACGAATAACTAAAACTCTTTAATATGACATTCATTCCGTAATATTAGAATAAACATTAACATATCTGAAACTGAAGTTGTAAACAGGTTCTAGGATGAACTTCTATTCCTATGACCAGTTATGTTTCTCAGTGGTGAGGCTGTCTGATATCGTCTTTGGTCTACAGCCTGCACAATGTGCATCTCTGTTGTCCCGATTCAGTAGGATTAACATTGACAATTGGGCAGCTAGTGTGATGATAAACAAACATGTATCATTCATTCACATGACACTTGGTAATAATTGAGGTGGTTTCAGTGAAACGATGACCTGGTTGGAAGTTGTATGTTGTAGCTGAGCTTTTAGAGTGCGAATTTACTATTATTGCTTTTTTTCAACTTCGTTGTTTATGAAAAGTGTGTATTCATCAGTTGTTTGTTTAAAAGAGCGCAATCATGCAGTATTGTTTAATCGATGTCCTTTCAGACTCAGTGTGTTGTCCACAGTCACAATTTTTGTATAAATTAAATCCTACCAAAGTGCTCATTTTCTCTTACATTTGGAAGCTCAGTATTTTTAAACCATATTTAGGGTATGTCTTCATTTTTGCGTCTTCTAGGTTGTTCGTTTAGTAAGCGACAGTTTTAACTATAGTCCCGTTGACCGTGCAAAATCTAAGACAAAGCAACATGTGGCGTCACGTTTCCCTGAGATTGGTCGTCATTTTAATCGTCTTGGACTTCCTCCCAAGGTAAATTTTCCTTGATAAAGTATACTGACATAAACATTACATTTGTTGTGGCACAGCTACAACTTGTGGTTTTCTACGTATATATGTATTGAAAAGTAATTATTCGCGAAGTTTTTGGTAAATAATGAACCCATTCCTATTTTTTTTGCCGTTTTTTATTAGCAATCTGTTATTTATAAGCTTGTTTACAAAATAATAAGTAATCAAGACATACAGAAATTCATTTTGTGTATGCTTTAGTCAGGTGGCTTTAAAAACTATCAAGAGTGTGACTGAGCAGTTTAAATATCAAATTTTGGGCCGAGATGGTTCCACCGTAAACGTTTTCTTCCCAAAAAGCTGTGATCCACGCGCTTTCTGAGTTTGTCATGTTCTGGAAAATTCATATGTGGCAACTCAGATACATATTTAATTACCTGTACTTGTTAGCTTGTGTTTACGATGGAATAAAGTCGTTTATCACTATTCTTGATTCTATTTGTTTCAGGTGGCACCTCTCCATTGCACCATGTTTCCTGCTGTCACATCTAGCTGGCTCTACAGCTGCTGATAAGCTTTCACTTCCTCTTTACATGATCATCTCTGTATCACTGTCGCATACCTAACCCGTCTCTCCCTATTCGGGTTTCACTCGAGGGCGTTATGTGTAGTGTCACGTCGTAAAGGTCTCACTGTATATCCAATCCATGTACCTTTCCTTCTGCTTGTTTGTTGGGCAATAGGTTGTTGTCTTGTTCTTTGCCACAGTTCTTTGTTATCTCTCTTTTTCGGTCATTTGATCTTCAGTATCGAAAGAGGTGACTGAAGTTTGTGACAGCTTGTTAGGAATTCTTATGCTGATGTGCACGTCCAGTCTCTGGACCATATAGAATCAGTGATTAACTTGATGTTAATGTTAAGAATTAGGGTCTTGTTCCTTGTGATAAGTACTAAAAATCTCTACACTTATTTCAGAGCGATGAAGGCCTGTCTTGCTTCTTCGATCCTGGATAAATTTATCACTGCTACCCTTGCTGCTTGTGGTTGAAGCGGTACTTTCCAGGTCACGTAAGTGTAAGAGATGGCTTTCTCTTGACTTCTTCTGATGAAGATTGGTACTGGTTGATCGGATGTCTTTGCCACTTCACTGGTTGAGGCAGTTGGCTCAACCAATGGGCTACGAGTTCGAAGCTGGCTCCATTTATGTCAATCTGGGCAACAAGGTAGCATCATGAGCCCTTAACCAATAAACTTAGTTATTACTATGTGTTACATGAAGGAGATTCGTTCTGGATAATCGAGTTTAAATATTTTTTATATTTGTTTGTTGGAAGTTGATGGAGATTGAAGTTAAAAGAAACACATCGACGTTATGTCAAGATTCCAGTCATAGTCTCGTTAACTCAGTCGGTAGATTGTTGAGTTGATTACCTAGCAGCTGCTAGATCGATATTTTACTACCTCATAAGTTTCTATTTCAATTTCTGTCGATGTGGTCAGTGGGTTGTTAATTCACATAAAACTGTCTAGATTGTAACTCTGCTTCTCATAATGGTGTTCATTGTTACTAACATGAACTGAAGTCTTTGTGTGGGTATATGGGAAGGGGTGGAAAATAATTGTAAATATCTGTATTCTTTATGCTTCGCAATTGTTATCTCACAACTGTTCAAGATCTATTGTTCTTCGTAACTGATAAAAAAACACACATTGTTTTCCTCATTTTCTTAGATTGGATCTTTTCAACTTTTTGTTCCCGATTGTGAAGATGCCGATTACTGGCTTCGTCATTTCGACAATGAGTCACTTCCTAAGCCCACTGCCAAAGAATTCCAATTCCAATTTGAGAAGCTTGTCGTCCTTGACTACCTCATTCGTAATACAGGTATGCTTATTTTTACAGATGTCCAACTTTAAATTGTGTTTTTCTAAAAAGATACTGTTTGACCACCGATTAGTGTAGTAAAGTTTGCACAGAAGTTTATATCAAGTTTAAGGTTGTTATATTTGAAGAATGGCCACATAATAAGTGAGCAGAAAGAGAGTGATGCTGTAACTTAGTGAATTGAAGTGAGCGTAGAAAGTACCGTTTCATCAGCATTCTAGTGTTCCAACCATAAGTTCAAGCAGCCTGAAGAGAGTTAAAGCCATTGGTCGGTGGTTTACCATTCCTGTTTCTACGCCGTTTACTAAGCTTTCGGTAATCCGGTTGTGCCACTAGTGTCCATACAACAGATGTGACTCTGTTAAGTGTGAAAATCTGCACATGGTTGACTCCTAGTACACTGTATATAAGTGATGCATAAAAGAGAAATCAATTCTTTTGCAGTTTTGAATTCCCCGCATGATGTGTTGGCATATCATCACCACCTCTCTTGAGTGGATACTTTGATCATGCCCTTGATTTTAAACTTGACTGTATTTCTGCTAAGCGACCAAAAGCTGCTACCTTGACGTGGTGGTCGGGCTTGAACACCGCAATGACCTAACAAGCTATACTGGCTGAGACTTATGTCTCTTGAGGTTCTACCATGCCATAAAGGTTGTTTGGATAGCGGTTAAACAAAAAGCAGCTACCCAATCCAATACCATGATACAAACAAATTCACAAAATTTCATGCCGGATCGGCCGTGGCCCGGATTAACAACGACCGCGCTTCCTGCTGCCGTGTCACAGGGCAGGAGTGATAAGTATGCTACTGAGGCACACCAAACAAAAAGAAGAAACAAAAACAGGCCGCGTGTGACCGGCCTCAAGCAGTTGTCCCCTGGGCTCTGCGGTCACGCAACCAACTTCCACGGTGTGGGCAGCCGGGAAGTAACAATCGCCCTCACAATCCGAAATGCACACAAAACCTCTCTAATCCTCACTTATCTTTGTCTTCATCTTCATCTCTATTACCTTGCCTTCCTTCCACTGATGCAACTCCTCTACTTGATGGCTCCTCACTCCCTCTTCACTCTGTGTCCACTAAAAACGACGAAAGCCAAAAAACCACCACGGATAGTCTCCTAAAGCCACGCCACCAATTTCATATAGGAGCATTTAATGTTAGGACACTTTGCCAAATAGGACAACAAGCATCACTAGCTAAGACCCTGGCATCCCGAGCCATTGATGTATGTTGTGTTTCAGAAACACGCATACAAGACCCAAGTGTGGTTATTCACCTAACCCCACCTGGCCAACAGGATGAATCTTCAAAATTCACCTTGAGGGTGTCAGGAGATGCCACAGCTAGTTCACGAGGATTAGCTGGCGTAGGGATAGCTTTGAGTACTAGGGCAGAAAAGACATTGCTTGACTGGATCCCGGTAGATAGCCGAATGTGTGCTGTCCGTCTGAACGGATCAGTAAGAAGGAGAAAGGACTGCACTACTCGCCGATGCCTTTTCGTAATCTCCGCCTACGCCCCCACTGACTGCAGTTCGGATGAAACGAAGGATGAGTTCTACCAAAAGCTGTCTAGTTTGGTGAGAAAGGCTAAACGCTCAGATATAGTCGTTCTAGCTGGTGACTTTAACGCTCAAGTAGGGAAATTGTGTCAATCTGAGAAGGATGTCGGTGGCACCTATGGAGTTCCGTGCCAGCGAACCGACAACGGTGACCGTCTCCTACAGTTCTGTTCAGATAATCATTTGTTTCTTGTAAGCACTAACTTTAAACACAAGGAGAGACACTGTTTAACCTGGCGACCCCCATCATCAAACCAACGCTGGACACAAATAGACCACATAGCAATAAGCTATCGTTGGCGTGGGTCGGTAGGAGATTGTCGCTCCTTCTGGAACACGTGTGTAGATACCGATCACGCACTGGTCCGGGCTCGTGTGTGCTTACGACTGAACGGACGTAGGAAACAGCTGGCGGTAAAACCATCACGTCCCCAGCTCGATCAGGAAACTAAATCCCTATTTGAGGAAGAACTAGCTAAACGCATATCTGAATTCGACAGCTGTGCTCACCCTGGAGAAGCCTGGAAGAATATTCAGTCAGCTATAGATACAGCTGTAAAAGCTGTGAATAAGGCAAATCCAAAGGTGAGTAAAAACCACTGGATTTCGACTGCCTCATCCGAACTGATAGATGCTAGAAGACTTATTCCGGCGAGCTCCGAATTCAATGAGGAGCGAAAGCTGCACAAAAGGAAACTTACTAAAAGTCTCCGCAAGGACCGTGAACAGTGGTGGGTGACAAAGGCGAAAGAGATGGAAAAAGCATCGGCGATAGGCAACACTAGGCAACTCTTTAGACTCATCAGGAATCGGGTGGGAGAAGGCAATTCATAAGTGAGACTATTTCTGAGAAAAATGGCTCCTTAATTAGCTCTCAGGATAGACGCCTTGAACGCTGGAAAGAACACTTTGAGGAACAATTTAACTTGCCTACAGCCACACTGAACCTCCCCGCCATCCACCACACCCGAATGGGATATAGACACTGGTCCGCCGTCTGTAGTGAGGTTACAAAAGCTATCAGTAATTTGAAACGAGGCAAAGCGGCAGGACCCGACGGAATTATTCCGGAGGTGTTTAAATATGGGGGTGACATACTAGTTTGTAGATTAACTGAGGTACTAGGCAAAGTCTGGGAATCAGAGACAGTCCATCAGACTGGGGTAAGTCACTTATACCGATATTCAAGAAGGGAAACAAGTCCTCGTGTGATAATCATAGGGGGATCAGCCTAACGAACATAGTCTCTAAAATCCTAGGCTCAGTAATCATGCATAGACTAAGCAGAACTCGGGAGGAACAGACAAGGGAAAATCAAGCAGGCTTTAGACCAGGTAGAGGGTGCATAGATCATATCTTCACTCTTCGACAGATTCTAGAACATAGACACACTTTTCGGCGTCCAACAATTGTCATATTTCTTGACTTGAAGGCGGCCTTCGACTCCGTGGATCGAAAGGTACTATGGCAATGTCTGACTGTGAAGGGAGTGCCAAGAAAGTACATTGCACTAATCAAGGCACTCTATTCAAACTCACGTAGTCGTGTAAGGGCTTATGGGGAATTGTCATCTGAATTGGTAACAACCAGTGGTGTCCGACAGGGATGTCCACTTTCCCCATTTCTGTTTAACTTCATCATAGATATGCTAATGGAAGTATCCTTAACTGAACGTAATGACTTAGGAATCGACTTGTTACCAGGGAATAATCTTATGGACTTAGAATATGCAGATGACATAGTCCTGTTAGGGGAGGATGCTGACAAAATGCAGAGTCTTCTGAACACCTTGAGCAGCAATCTTCGTATGTTTGGCATGCGATTCGCCCCTGCAAAATGTAAGATGCTGCTACAGGACTGGACCACGTCAACTCCTAACTTAGTGATAGGGAGTGAAGTGATAGAACATGTTGACCACTTCACCTATTTGGGAAGTTGTATTAGCACCAACGGACTGATTGGCGATGAAATCTCAGCACGGATCCGAAAAGCTCGAGCTGCTTTCGCTGACTTACACCATCTCTGGCGTAGGCGTGACATCCGGTTATCAACCAAGGGACGTGTGTACTGCTCATCAGTTCGCTCCGTCCTTCTCTATGGCTCTGAAACATGGCCAATACGCGTTGAAGACATGAAAAGGTTGACTGCTTTCGATCATAGATGTCTGCGATCTCTGTCTCACGTTAGGTGGTTTAATAAGGTAAGTAATGTTGACGTTAGGCGTAGAGTGTTGGGCAAAGAGGGAAAATCAATCGACGAGGCTATAAAGTTACATAGACTAAGATGGCTAGGTCACGTGCTGCGCATGCCTAACCACCGCCTCCCCCGACGGGCATTACTAGCTGATATAGGTTCAGGTTGGAAAAGAGCCAGTGGTGGCCAAACAAAAACATGGCCTCATCAATCCATGAAATCCTTGACAGTTAAACTGAGTCAGGTAGGGAGATGCAGACTCCCGGGTTGGGGCCCTCGGGACTCTAGGAATCAATGGCTGGAGACAATAGGTGACATGGCTCAAAATCGTTGTCAATGGCGCAGATGTATTCAGTCTCTGTAATCTTTCATATTCCTTTCTACCATTACCCATTCTGTTTCACTCTTATACTTGTCAAACTCTATTAATTCTCTCCACTCATCTTCTTGTCTACCTCTGTGTGCTATTTGGAACGTGGCAACTCGAACTGCTGCACTTCGGTGCCAAGTTCTATGTTGAATCCAGACAGACAGACACTAGTGGTGACAGGTGTATGTATATACGATAAGTTGCAAATAGGAGAAAATGTGCATCTTGGATTGCGCTGTCAGTCGTCACCTGACAGAAAATGAAAACTAACTGGTCTGATAAATATTTTGAACTTACTATCAACTAATGTATTCCTTGAAAGATACTGGAATAATGATTAAAGCTACACATATCTGCACTTGACTTCTTTCTGTTTCATGTTTTACATGTTTTCGTGTTTTTTCCTATCTTAACTAATATCCATGTTCTTGTATTTAGAGAGAATACTAACTTTGGTCAATTTAATACAATCCTAGCTACTGCATTATTCCTTATTTTGTTGCCATATAATATCGTTTGTTCATTATAGTCTTAGCAAACCAATATTTCTTCTTTCTCTAGGTTTTGGTTGTGTTGATTTTTAAATTTATTTCGATTAGGTCATTGGTTGCAGTCGTAGAGTACATAGTTATTAATATAGAATCAAGTCATTTTCTGTAATTGCCTGTTTTTACTATGTAGATCGTGGAAACGATAACTGGCTTATCCGTTATCATAGTCCAGAATTGAAAGAAGGAACCGATGAGGTAAATTATGAATTGTGGTGTGAAATAACTACCTTTATCTTCAATCATTATCATCTTGGTAAACTTTAATAATGAAGAGGTCCCTTTTTAAACAAAACAAGACCTGTTGATAATGCTATGTGCTACTGATTGACTATTATGATTAATTGGCAACCAGTCACATCCACCAGTAACCGGTCTTTGTTAGCTGGATCTAAATGCTGAACGGTTATTTCTGTCATTCGTGACCGACCTCATCAGCGGTGCACCAGGTCTGACCCAGCTCAGAGAGTCAAATCATTTCAAACCACTAGAATTATGACCTGTGGAATAATAAATAAGATGTTACTGAACAACCACATGAAAGTAGTAGTGAGATACACCTATCCTTTGAGGGTTAGTGGTGCTACTTCTGGCTGCTCAAACCTCAATAGATGCGGAGGATTGGAACCCGGAACTCAGTTAACGAAAGCTGAGTCCCTAAGTCCCATTTCTGCTTATGACATTGTTTATTGAGTATAAATTTCTCCGAAATCACCATTATAAGACTAAACAAATGGAATATTATTCTTTGCTTTTTCTTCCTTAATAAGTCTTTGGGCTGTAAATCCTTCACCCTTCTTTAAGTAAACTTTGACAAATACCTTTAGCTGTATTTCCAAGTAATCTTATCCGTTGTTTTGCATTACTTCTATCCATAGTGGTGAAGAGACCACATAGTGTAATCTGGCCATTTGGAGTTCATTGAGAAAAACATAATTAGTTTCTCTTCAGGTGTCTTTGGTTGGATAGAACCATTTTATGACGTTTTTGTGAGACAATGCTATAACTGATATGCGTTTACTTAATATAATTATTTACTTCAAACTATCATTAGGCATCATTTAACGCAGTTAGTTACTACTTCAGTATTGAGATGACACCAGACTTATGTCACAGAAGTTTATGCTGTCCCTATCCCTATTTTATTTTGTCATTAAGGGCCTTTAATACTACTCAGCTGTTCAGGTCTCAGACGGTAAGATATGAGTTATAACTCGTGACGCAGTAGTTTTGAGTGAGTGGATGAACCGTCGCTCTACTAAAGAGTTTATAGTAATTTGCCGGTTTGTTGTCTCAAAATTGTGTCAACTTTAACTGTTGGGTTTGTAATGGATATCTTGGCGACAAAAAGCATATATATATATATATATATATATATATATATTCGTTTACGTTCCGAGTGGAACATAGGACTTCCGCCTTTGAGCTTTGAAGTTTCAGTAGGAGTGGTTTTATTTGTTTTTTAACAGGGTGAGGTTGGTAGCCTCACGACTAACCTTCTCTCTTTACTGGGTTTACAATCGTTTGGTTAACAAGTGAAGTTTAGGTGTTTGTTGGCTGCGGATCGAAGCGGGACCACATGCGTCATTGGCGAACGCTGTGTCACTGAACCACCGGTGCTTTGACTCCCTATTAATACATCTTATCCGTCGTTGTGATATGTTAACTTAGACTAGTATGATATTTCGTAATGTGTTTTTTCATTCGAAGTATACACATATATGTATTCATTGTTTTGTCATTCAGTATGTCTTACTGTTATACTGTAATCTCTCTCTATTTCACAGACTACTAAAGACGATTGGGGAGTTATTGGTATGCCAAAGATTGAATTGTTTGCAATTGACAATGGTTTGGCCTTCCCTTTTAAACATCCTGATGAATGGAGAGCATGTAAGTGGGAATAAATTGACAAACTAAAAGAAGTTCAAACAGTACTTTCATATATATATATATATATATATATATATATATATATATATATATATATATATATATATATATATATATATATATATATATATATATATATATATATAATTAACAGTTCTCATCGAGACACAAAAACAAAGAATTCAGCGAAGAAAATTCCTTTTTCACGATTTCATTTTCATAACTGTTCAATCTTATAAATACATGAATTGCAATAGACAATAACAGTCAGTATTCTTGTGTGTGTTAAAGTTTGATGGTAAGTGGGACCACTAAAGTGCAATGATATTGTGTACAGAATTATGAGTCACAACTGATTGGATATATGAATGAATAAACTAAGTAAACAGGGGTTAACCTAAAGTCCAACAAACATGTGTGGGTTCGTACTGCCGATGATTCCCAAACTCGGATGAGACAACTGTCTAATACTCTCTGGTTTCCAATGGTTCTCTAACCGATATCAGTTCTACTATAAGTTCTAAGTTATATGAAATATTAAAGTACGTATTATTTCTGTTAAATGAATTGAGGTTGGACACGGAGGTAATGTGTAGTGTTTTTTAGTAGTTCGTGTTTTTAAAAAATGTCTTATGTGGTGAAACAGTTACATTTATGTGATGGCTGTTAGCTACCAGTTATCTTCTATATGACTCACTTATATTTACTTATTCTTTAGTTCAACTGTGGAGCTGTGGCTCCTCTGGAATAGACGCTCGAATTGTAACTACTGTGTCGCAGGTTTGAAGCCTACTCCAGCTGCACCCATGTTTCTGTACTTGCTAGCTGAAATCTCTGTGTTATGTAATCACTAGGCCAAAATGTTATTTTCTTTGGTGATAGCTAGTAACGAAGTCCAGGATGCGTATCCATCTTATTCGGGACTAGTCAGTGGTGTGTATATCTGCAACCTCAGTGGACGATGGTATTCTCACTGAAGCTCAGTCTCAACACCCATCGTTTCAGTTCAAAAGTAATAATTCCAATAAATAACAACTGTTACCTGTTGCACAATAGATAACTCTTTTGGCCTAGTGGATAATACTTTGGCATTCGGGAAAATTGGTGCTGGATTCGAACACCATCAGTGAGTGAGACGATGAGTCTGAAATATGAGAAAACGTGTGAAAATGCAAGTGCTTGTTGAGTAACGCTTTCATTTTCAATTTTTTCAGTTTAAGTACAAATTGTTAGACATTTTAAAAATCCTCTTTCATTTTTCATTGTTTGTAAGCGTTTGACATCATCTTATTTCTTTTTTAATTGTCATCATTTTTCTTTTTCATTCGCATCAGATCCATTTTACTGGGCTTGGCTTCCTATGGCTAAAGAACCATTCTCAGATTTAATAAGAGAGGCTGTTCTTCCATTATTATCTGATGTACACTTTATAAACGGCCTGGTTCGAGATCTTCATAATTTATTCAAAGTAAGTTTTCGAAACAATTAGTTCCCTTTATGAGTTTCAGCAAAACAGTAAGAAAACGTAATCTGTTTTCGCAACAGATTTCGAACAATCTAATTCCACATATACTTTTTTCAGGAAATTATGTGAAAATCATCAAGCATCAAGGGACAAGAGAGTAGACAGGTCAAGTTAAAAGATAATATTGAAGGTCAAAATAACAATGAAGATCAATAAAGCAAAGAAGGGGGGATAATATATCTGTTTTATTGTCGAAACAAATTTTATCAAGGAAGGTTTACTGCGATGACACATTGTTTTTTTTGTTTTGAAGACATAAAGGTGACTGAATTTTCTTAATCTCTAGGACTTTCATAAACTGTAAAATACTCCTTAAATATGTTTTCTAGATAGGATTGAAAGAGGTATAAACATGAATTTTATGTACTGTATCTATAATATGTTTCTCAATTCGAAGGGTATTCTATCTTCACCAACAATGAGTTCACAAGATTCGATTAATTTTCGACGTCATTTAGGGGTATACTCTGACCCCTGTATTATTTCCTTAAAAATCCCCATGACAGTTCAGATCAGATTGTTCGAAATGTGTTGCGCAAATACATTACGCGTCTTCTTATTGTTTTGTCAAAGCAAGTTGTTATATGAATAGAACTTGGGCACTGTAGTAAAGTATAATTGAACCATAGAGTAAATTTATTTGATCAAATCACATAGTGATGCAGCATTATTTACTAGTGACTTTTTGAGCGCAATTTTTTGCTTGTGGTCATCATATCAAGGCACTAACATAACTTTACTAATTCATTTCTTATCCTTTGGTTTTGCTTGTAGTAATATTTTCGATGTCTGGTATTAGCGTCGAGTCATTCCTGTTGTACATCTTAGGTACAGATTCGATGATCAAAACCTTTACCCCCTACCTACCTATATTACTTTTAAGAACTGTAACTCTGTCCCACCTTACGTGTGATTTTGTGTTAATGCATGTATCGCAACGGATAAATTTTTTTCTAAACTATTCATATTTGCCTGGTCAATCATTCTACTCTCATTTAAATTCTCATGTTTCTGTGGTGTGACTACCCTCAATCTACTAGTGTGATCTATGTGGCTTACCTCATTCAATGCAGGGTATTTTGTAGATTGCATTATTTTGCCTATATGGGTCAGTAGTGTACTTTAGCCTACTGAGCTTGTCCATGAATGAGTTCGTAGTTTTAAGTACCAATTTAATTCCTACTTTATTAAGAATCCTACGTAGGGTTTCATATGTCTCTTCCTTATATGGTAAAACTGTAAATGCCCTAAATTTTTTATTTGTTGTGGTCAGTAGTTCCGCTACTTTATTCCTTTTCTTGTGAGTTTGTGTGATCTTAGTGAATTTTATGGGGCAGTTATTTGGCACCAACTCTTTGTCTATCGGTTTCATTTCATTATTTAGGTTTTCCGATGTACTACTTAGTTGCTATTCGACTTACTAGACTCAAATAAAAGATAATAAAGATAATGGATAAAATAAGTTAAAGTCTAAGTATCTATTAAAATGCGTTAGTTTTTTTTATAAATGCTGTGTTGAAACTCAGTCGGTGAAGCTGGAGGATGTTATCTCCCATATTCATAGCAAGGGATCTGGTACGCTAGTCACTTTCCTTTCTTTATTTTCATAGGTGATAGAATTTCTTGCTTATTTGGATATCCTGCAGTATACCTCCTTTATTAAGTTGCCTATCAAATCATCCACACAGTTTAATTAATTTACGGATTCAATGTAAATTTCATCATGAACTGACATCAGTTAAATATTCATCGGAAAACATAGAGGACTTGACGGCGGTTTTTTCCAATTTTGAATTCTTCAGTAGTGCACGTCCATCTCCTTACTTAGGGTCAAATCTTAAACCTTCAGGTTATGAGACATGTACGTTACCATTCAGTTGTTGGGTTGAAATTTAATAACCTATGAATTCTAAGTTAACGTGTCGGTGACCAATGCCATCTATGAGGAGTGTCCGCTTCACTCCTAATACGGTAGACTCTACTCACCTTCCAAACTTTTCATTAGAGCTTCAGGACAATCATCCACCTACACTAACATATATTTCTGTTGAAATTTGAATTTCATTCTAGGTGTCAATAACGTAAAGCTAACTACTTTGTGGGTAGCTTTTCCTAGGTACTCAAATAATCTAAGTTATCAGAGATCAAATACCAGGTTATGTATAACAACGTGCTCGAATGCTTTTAAACTGTTCGACTTGTAACAACAGAAGACAAGGGCCAGGCAACAGATCCTTTATTTACGAAATCAGATATTTATAGATTTTCATGTGCATTATTATAGATTATTGTAAGCAAACAAACGCAGTCTTCTGATTGGTTGTTTCTCGCTGAACGTTAATCTTTCATCTCTTTGTGACCGTTTATTGAAGTTCAGATTATCTACCTGCAAATTGTATCCGCCTACGCAAAGTGTGCTGTGATTAGTTGTTGAATCAGTCTTTGTTCTTGTTTTTCTGACGACCGATATTGGGGACGTATACATTGACGTAAATTACTGTCCACCAATTTTTGGCTAGCAGCCAGCTCTCACCAGAAACTTAATTGTAGGGTACCAAGCTTGCATTTATGATAACAGCAGTGGCACAGATTGATGGATAATAATTACATTATCCATAGTTATTTTCAAAAGTTTCAAACTGCCCTCATTAAAAAGTAAAAAAGCAAGTTAATTTGTAGGGATTTGATTTGTGTCAGGTTTAGTAATGGATTGATATCAGTTAGAAAACCATGAGAAACCAGATAGTATTGGAAGCTATTTCGTCTTAGTTCGGGGCTCCTCAGCAGTGCGCACCCACGATCCCACCAGAGATTGGACCCGGGACATTCAGGTTAAGATGCCAAGTTTGTCGATCTTTCAGTCACTTGAAATGGAATCAGATGACTCGTGAATTCTAACTTCTATTTGTATAGTTAGTCAGATGATTTTCCATTAGCTTTTTCCTTTCCTAATTGGACTCTTGGAATAAAATATTGTACATTGCCTTAAGCACTTAACTTTCAACAAATGGATCCTGGGTTTGTGTCCCATTGCACCTCCTCACAAGTAGTGTACCTCACAGCCTGATACCAAGTGAATGAGTTCATATAAATTAGACTTGAATGCTGGTTAGTTTAAGATTATCTTACACGTAGTCCAAAAAAGGCTGTATATGTGCTGTCGATGGTATCGATTAATTCAAATTCATTCAGAATAGCGATATTATCGTTTGATGAGATGGAGTTAAAAACATGATAGGAAGCAAGATGAAATGAAAATTAAGAGCTACAGGTCTAGCTGATACCAACTGTGTTACTGTCTTTTTACAGGCCGTTTCCTCTTCTCCAATCTGACTGTTATAGGCGTTTTCTGTACTGTTACTACTTACTATATATATATATATATATATATATATATATATATATATATATACCTGATGTCTTCATACAACTTTCGTAGGTTAACCCTTCCTAAGTGACAATATTTTTTAATACTTAGTCAAGAATAACTACACTATATTTCTAATAATAATTATGGTTATAGTTTTTTCTCTTCTTTGCTTATCTGTCATTTAGGTAAGCACATAATATTGATTATTACCTTTTTAGGACTTATGATTGACATTTCATTTGGTGACTAACTCATCATTATGTGCTGTTTTATTACACTTTATTAGCACTGAATAGACGTAAGCTACATGAATATTTAATTAGACGTATAGCTTATTGTTGAAATAAATATACATACCCTTGTGTTGATGGCATTATTTCTTACAACAAATGTTCCCTTGGTACTGTTATGGATATGCATATAACTGGTCTGTGTTTTGCGAAACAGAGACATCAACGTAATTCCATATTAGTTTGTTTATTAGATGTATCACACAGTGAAACAGTATTGTATACTGGATGACGTTTCGAACACAATTTATTGTTCATAATCATATCAATTGTGGTCACACGACTTTGAGATTTGAGTTTTATAGTTTTTTTGTTTTCTATTTGTCGTATGGGTAGTAGAATTTTCCATATATCTGGGACAGGTGTTGAATCGTTTTTATTACATGTATTTGCAGTTGATTCGATAAACAAAGCTTCTGTTATCAATCTCTCCCTATACCCTTTGACATTAGATTTTAAAACTGTCATCCTATTCCATCCTATTGTATGGTTGTGTGTGTGACTGCATGTAGTATAGCTGAACTATTTTCTAGATTTCTTATCTTATTTGGGTCAATAAATCTACATTTAGCTAGGTTTTTATGTTCGGCTAGTCTGACTGTCCTTGTTCTACTAGTTTGACCTATGTATTTGACCTGGTAATCATTGCAAGCAGGGTATTAGATAAACTAAATTGATTTGTTTTAATGGCTCCACAGGATCCTTTAACAGACAAAGCTTGTTTCTAATTGAGTTTGTGGATTTGAATGCAAATTTTATTCCTGCCTTGTTAAGAGACATCAACGCCTTGTGTTGTGTTTAACACACGACTAGCTGATTGTGTCAGCTACATAAGGAGAGATAAATTGATTGACCGTGCGTCAGTGGCACAGCGGTAGAATGCTTGCCAACCACGCATTTGGCCTGGGTTCGATCCCCGGCTGTTAGTAAGACTGGTAAAGAGGGAAGGTTGAACATGGGGCTAGCAACTGGTACCATCAGTGATAGGTATCAGTGATAGGATGACCCAGACTATAATAAACTCGGGAAAGAGGAAAGGTCGGTTGTAAGGCTAATAACCTCCTCCCGTACTGAAACTTTCAAGCTCAATGCACTTTTCTGCAATGTTCTACGTTGAAAATCTAGTTTGGTCGAAGCGAATAGTAGGTCAAGTGTAAAATGTGATTGGCTCTTTGTTTCAGCCTTAATCACCTTACTGTGTAATTATTTTTCATTCGAAGCCATTGTGCAATCCTCTTCTATTTCAATTATGTTCTCATCTTTCTTGTTTTTACACTTATATTCTTGTTTTTTTGAAAAAAATTGAATTGATGTATTTCTATGGGTTACTTCATTTTACGCTTTTGTTTCCCTTTTATGTGTATGTGTATACACAGTATGTGTGGGAGAAATTTTGATGTAATATTTGGTATATTTGTAATAGTGTTGTTTAAAGCAGTTAGTTCCCTTTATGAATTTTGACAAAACAATGTGTAATTTAACTGAAATGTATAATTTATGTGATATCAGTGGTGTTACCTATCAGGTCTTAGAACCCTGGTACTCAAACGAATCAGGGATAAACGGACAAAACACCATAGATCAAATTTACCAAATAATAAAAAAATCAGTCACAAAACAAGTCTAATTCCAAGTCAATAAAAATGATCAGCACTGATGCGAATTGACAACTAATCATATCAAAGGTTGCCAGGAAAAATAATTATATCATTCATGGAGAATTCAAATTAGTTCACCTTACATTGTAGTGTGCACTGAAGATGTCTAGAAAAACAAAAAAAGCTTTACAATTAAGTCACCCAGCTCAGAGAATGCAACCAAATAATAATCATCTAATTATAGAGGGGCATTGGTATCCATCCAGCTTAATGATACACTTCATTAAACTTATATATATATATATATATATATATATATATATATATATATATATTGTAGAATATCTTTTAAAGAGTATCTCCAGAATTTCTAATCATCTATTTTTTAATGTTTTGCTTATTCTCATTAAGCATTAATTTAATGATATATTTTCCAAACATTTTATAATGTCTTCAATGTAGTTTTTTATGATTTATAAGATGAAGTATAAACACTATTTTTTGAGGCATAAGAAGCCAACAACTTCTAACTCTGTAGGTGATTAGATACGCAGAATTCCAGTAGCCTGATGTACAGATTGTTTTGGTGATTGGAGAGTGGTTTCTCACATTGTTTTTTCACCATTTAGACTCGTGATCTAATTGTGGCGTGTTGATAGTCACTTACTTTAGCGATAAGTTAGACGAGTTGAAATCCTAAGGATGTAATATAAAAGGTAGCTAAAGAGAGAGAAAAAAAGAATGTCTTCAAGTTTGAAGATACACCTTTCTTAAGGGTAGGTGCTAACAAGTACTAACCATCTAAAATCCATTCAAAGTGCACCAATAAGGACGAAACACCTAACCTGCTAACCAAACTACACTGCCATATCACATTCCACAGCACAAAGGACTAGACGCATAACATTACTCCCTATTTGTTGTGTACAAGTTTTCCTAGGGTTTCACTTATGTTATATCAGTCGTCATGGGTAAGTATGGAACCGTATCTATGATCTCTTGCTGATTGTCTCTTGAAATTTCATAGCAAGCCTGTGTTGTTTAATGTAGCTTTATGGTTATGTGTCACACTTAACCAGTAAGATCCTGATAAGAAATAAGGACTATGAAATGTCTAGGTAAGCTACATCTCAGTGACTAGGATTTTCGTGGCTAAAGTTGTCAGCTGCTGGTTTTGTAAACCAGATATCAGTTTCAGTTGCTGAATGGTCAGCAGGCGCTCACGTTGTAACTGGAAGGTCTTGGTTTCGATCACTGCTTGTTGTGAGTTCATGGGTGCAAACTCTTGAGGTGTCCAGAACTAACTAGGAGAGAAAAAAATTGTCCATTAATTCGTGGTATTTTAGTGGGGTTCACTAACGTTGTGATCTAAGTTGGGGTCAATCTAAATCTCTGCAAATTAAATTAGAGACATATACTTCATTTTCCAGAATAGAAACAAATGTTCAGTTGTTTATTGTTTATTTTGTTTTAATTTTACATTGCAGATTGATCCAGGTTTTGATCTGTCTACATTTCAAAGGCAAATGTCAGTTCTACGTGGTCAGGTTAGTGGTAATCATTGTTTGTGTGTATATGTGTGTCTTATATATTTAAAAGTGTATCGATAGAATTGAGTAAGATTGAAGTACTTGAAGAAAAGTTGGAAAGCTTACTTTCCATTAGACCGTGAGAATACATCGGTTGAGAAGACTAGTACGTGTGCTACGTGGGATGAACTATCGCCTCCTCGATGATTAGTGTTAGCTCACATAGCATCTGTTTGCAAAATATTTAGGGGTGGTCGAACCAAAAAGTGCTATTAATGCATGAAGTGTTTGACTGTTGATTTAAGTCAAGTGAGGGAAATGTATGTATGTATTCTTTTATGAGGTATGGTGATTTGAACTGTTGTACTTTTGTACAAAGTTTTATGTTGAAAATTTGGTTCAGTTCAGTTCATGTAGACGAATTTTCATTGATTGATTTATGACAAATTATTGCTTAAAACTCTAACTACTTCACTGGGAAGTAAACCTAATGTTGGTGTATTTTCTGTGTTGATGGCTTTATTGCAAGGCTTTTAGTGCCTTTCTGTACACAAAACTTCCGTGTTAACTTCTATGAGAAATGAACTGTCGGATTTCTCTGCAGATGAAGTGGGTTGTGATAAAAGCAATCGTGTGGTGTTTTCGCGCATAGTATAAGCTAACGCCAAAACAGATATTCCAACTGCATAAAAATTCTATAAAGCACCTTTAAAACAGCCAAATGACGTAAATAACAATAATGATTTAATTCTTTTAAGCAAGTAATACGAAGTCACTTAAACCTGATATGTATCCATATATATATATATATATATATATATATATATATATATATATATATATATATATATATATATATATGTATATATATATGTGTGTGTATGGTGGTCTCTCTTTCTGTTTGCTCGCTTAGTCTGTGACCATTTCACTTTGAGGAACCTGTCTCCTTTAACAATGTATATTCCCCTTATATTATATATAATATAAGTGTTTTTTGACAGTCCGTTGCTTGGTGACAGATATCCATATAATATGTATGGTTGTTGACATGTCTGCTATATTTTGCTATGTATATATGGATCGATACTTCATTATAATTAGCCATTCATGTTAAGACTGTCCATTGATTTTTCACACACTTGTCTGGACATTCATATATATTTCGCTCACACAATCTTGTGTGTCCACTTTACTTTGGTGTGATACCACTTATTGCATTCTACTTGTGTTTGGAAAATAGAAGTATCATCGCAAACCTAGTGGTCTTCCGATTTCCGCCTTCTTGCGTCAGAACTATTAAATTCTTGACCAGTACATAGCAATAATTTAGCGACGAGTACATAACAAAACCTCAACTACGTAGGGCAATTCAAATCCTAATTGACTGCCTTTATTCTCCGCTTTAACATTAGGAGGGGAAGAAAGAATGGCAAGTGTGTGCAGTGGAATCCACTGCTAGCCACCATCCACCAAATAAGTATTCAGTCTTTATTTAAATTTAAGTTTACAAGAATTTCACTAATTTACATTTTTTATGATGTGGTTCATGCTTAATCACAGTTTACTTGTTTTTCATCACTGGAACTGGTTGGTTGATTCAATTTGAAGTGTATCGGTATCAAAGTAGACTCGTCATCGTGTGTATCGGTGGTTTAATGGTAGGATGCTCACTAACCACGCGCATGGCGTGAGTTCATTTTCTCACGTATCTCGCCTACCTTGTCAGCCGGTAGGAAGCTCAAGAAAGAAGGGAGTGTCGAGAGCAGGGCTAATAACTTCACTCTGTAAAAGGTACACTACGGCTACCGAAGCGTCAAAGCCTCTGAAGTTCTATGTTCTACTCGGAATGCGAAGGAATGAAAACAAACCGATATCAGCTCTAGAGAGTTTTCGAACACCAGTGGACATTATTTAGCTGTCTTGCCATAGTTTGAATCTTTTCGTATGCTTATGCAGTCACTATTTCTTAGGGAATAAAGCTTGAGTTATCATTCATCAGCAAGGGGATTACTAAAATCAGTCTGCATCTATTTATTCCATTCATGATTTAATACCATTGGTAATCATTTGTATCAGTCAGCAGTTGCTGGGATATTCCAAAGATGAACGTCAGTCAGTGACGATTTATCGATGTAAAATCTTCAATAAGATGTCGAACCATATAAACACTGAATTAATATATATATATATATATATATATATACTATAGCGCAGTATTTTCATAAGACTTCTTCATGGATTTATTCGATTAAAACACAGTGATACAGTATTATTTATTGATGACGTTTCCTGCACAATTTTTTGCCCATAATCATATCAAGGTATTCACATAACTTTCAAACTTCGTTTATATAATTTTGTCATCACAGATGAGGGTGGAATAGAGCTACGGTTCTAAAAAATAATATAGGTAGGTAGAGGGAGAGATTTTGACGATTGAATGTATGCTCATCGAATCTGTACTTAATACGTACAATAGGCATGACTCCACACCAATATCAGAGATGTTTAAAATATCACTACCAATAAAATCAAAGGATAGGAAATCATGGAATTATATAAACATAGTATGCAAGTTATGTTAATGCCTTGATATGGTGACTGTGAGTAGTGAATTGTACTCGAAAAACCAGTAAATTAGTGATACTGTATCAGTTAAATTTTTCTATAATGCAATTATACTCTACTATACAGTTCAAGTTCTGTTCTTATATATTTTACTTGTTTTTGTTATTTTTCTAGGTTGTTAACTTAATTGCAGCTTTACGTGATTCAAAAAGTCCATATGATCTAGTTAGAATGCCAGTACTTACACTAGAATTATCTACTAAAAAGCGTTATAATAAACCACGTTGGCCTCATCAACGATTAGCTGCTGGTTTAGCTCATGGCACCACTACAAGTACTACTAATGATGATGATAGTATTGATTATTTTAGAAGTTATACCCATCACCCTAGAGTTGATGTTATTCATCCAGTTGTTAGTGTAAATACTGATCAACAGTCAGTGTCAGTTGATACTAATCAAATGCATAATTTAATCGGTTACAATAATTGTACGGATTTAAATAATATTCAACCAACTACAAGCATAACTCAGAGTAATAGTACTGTTGCTGCAGGTGACAATAATGCCTATGCGATTGCTGTAGATACTGAGGAGGATGGTGGTATTGATGTCTTAGAACATGGATTAGTTGCTTTACCTTCTTTTAAGCCTAAACAATCTATGTCAACTGATAAAGCAGCTGAAGTTGATCTTGCTACTACTACCAGTCTTGGTGATGATGTACCAGAAGATGATGAGGATGCTGAACAACGTTTTAATTTACGTTATTATAAAAAACCATTTTTCAGTTGGTTTTGAAATAAATTGATTTCATAATTTATGAAATTGATGTATAATTTTTAGAATTTTTCATGCAAGCTTCTCAGTGTCTTTCCGTTATATTCCATCATTATCTGACCATTACGGACAATTAACTCAAAATGTATTGGATCAGTATTGTCCTTTTCTTCTTCAGTTAATTTCTTCTCATATGAATTATATGGTATGCGTACTTATGTATGTATTCACTTTATCTGAAAGGGGAAGATGTCAGTTGATCGTCTGGATAGTTTACTTTTGTCTCTATTCCTTTTGTTTTCATTTTCTAACGACTGAAACCTAGTATTATTACTATTATTTGATTGTTGTTTTTGTCACTGTTTGATGTATGTTGTACTCGTTACACCCATTTCTTTATCTTCTCTTTGCCTTCTTCCATTTTACCATTCTGATTGTTTATTTTTCATAAAGATATCTTTATGGACTGCTTCTGTGTATGTGTGTGTGCGTATAGCGTCCTTCAACTTGAAATCAGATATACTTGGGACTTTTCAATGTGTTTTCGCGTCACACTAGATTACTGGAAATGCTGTTTACGAATGAATGGCTGTGGCATCTGGTTAACTACTTTTTTTTTGTGTGTGTACATCTGTAATATTGTGTATTTGATCTTGCACAGGTTATCTTTATTTGTATAATTCAATTGCAATTTTTATTTAATTAATTAATTGAATTTATCTCATCTCTTGTCGAATTCATTATTTTGTATCAAAAAAATAATAAAATGATGAACAGAGTTGTATGGTATGTTCACTTTTTTTCTTCATTTCTTTGTAAACTTTAGTGGAACACATTAGGGCTTCAAGCCTTGTGGTTTGAAGTTTCATTATTGATGGTGTTATTTCCCATTACGTGATGGGATGGCTAGCCTTATACCTTAAGCCCCCTCTTTTCCAGGCTTACTATTGGCTAGCCAGGGTTCACGAGTCGAACTCAAACCATTTGTGTGTCTGACGACCATTCTACCATTGAACCACCGACACGTGTTATGTTCACTGGCTGTATTTTTCAATAAAAGATGAGTAACTTCTTTCTTGTTCTTTTCTCCCATCCTTTCTTTCTGTGCATAAATTGTGATCTCTTTAACTTGAATACAACCCAGAAGTAATCTCCGAAAAAGTTAATTTGTTAGTTAACTGAATTTCAGTTATCCAGAACAAATTTCCAATGCATCAGGCTAGATTAGTCATACTTATTGTGTGAAAGAGTTGGTAGTGATATTACCATCTAGTTGGTCAGGCTAAAGTAGGTGGAATTGGGTTCGAACCCGGGAAAACAACTACTACTGGGAGACGGTTGAAAGTTGAGTGCCTTAACTAGTGAAATACATCTCTACAGTATAAGCACTTCTTTAATACTGTTGTATTACTGAACGCTCCTGTTGTATTGTTATCGTTATGCGCTGTGTGGAATTATAGCATGCATAGAAAAAGGTAAAGTGGTTGGTGTTTTGACTTATATTGGGAAAGTTTACAAATGAGATCATTATCTTCCCTGACGTAGATGGAGCACTTCATGTGTGTACTAATGGCATTTCAAACTTACCTTCAACTGGGAACATGACACTGATTGCTGAAGCTTTAGTGACTTATCAATCTATCTATTACAGTTCAACGGAACGCCAGTGGGTTAAGCCGAGTGGTAACATCTCTGACTGTAGCACTGGTTGATGCAGTTTTGAATCTCTTTGTAAATATCAGTTCCATCAAGTTTACAAATACGCCTTCCTGACGAATCTGAAAATACATGAAACCTAAGTCAAAGTCAATTGCTTTGAACCATCTGACATCATTTAGAAGTATATTACCATGGTGAATCACCTAGCTTGGGGATCATCTTTTAAACATAACTGTTTCTTTTTTGTTCACGTTCAATCTCCGGAAGAGATCTTTCATGCATCAGGCTAAAAAAGCCATGCTTCTTATGTGAAGGTGAGAGCTGGCTGTTAGCCAAAATTGGTGGACAGCAATTTACGTCAATGTTTGTATCCCCAACATTGGTCGTGAGAAAACAGGCTTTGCGTGGTCGGATGCAGTTAGCATATAGATGATCTGACATTCAAGAGACAGACACAAAGAGATGGAAGATTAACTTTCAGTGAGAAACAACCAATCAGAAGACTGTTTTTCTGCTAACAATAATCTATAATATGTACATGAAAATCTATAAATATGTGTTGATTTCTTTAATAAAGGATCTGTTGCCTGGCCCTTGTCTTCTGTTGTTACACTACCACATCAGTTGGCTAGGGTGAAGCAGCTGGAGTGCGATTCGAAACCGGACTCAAACCCGGGATAAACTGGCTGGTATTTGAGCACTTGAACCAATGAACCACATTTCCGTTGGCCAAAGATTTGGCCTGTGTCAGCATGTTTGTTGATTAGAGTTTTGTTTGAGAGTCTCTCGCAGAATTTTATATGCACCCGGTTCTCTTGGTTAGTTTGAGCGAAGCAAACGCAATGTAGCAGCTCATTATTTTATTTCACGTGTTTTCTGTGGCTTATAAGAGTCTAAATATTACCTAAGTCATTATAAATGTAAATGTATATTTTACTCTTCAATAATTATTTCAACTCAAGCAGCATTCAATAGTGACGAAATAAGAGGTATTGTGGCGTGTGCTACTGATAAGATATATCAGAAGTATATAAAGAGACGTTCTTTGGCGTATGAACGTCAAATAGCAGAGAGATAGATTTGACGTCAGAAAAAGCAAATGTTACTGCGTTGCGGAGATACATGAGAGACGCGGAAGGAACACAAAGAAACACAGTTTTAAGACCGGAATTACTACAGTACGAAGATTATATGCAAATGGTAATTTAAAGATAAGGTTTACATAATTTCGCTACATAGAGATACCGAATTGCAGATAAACATTTCTTCACCAAGTGTGTCGTTCTATGCTTTGACAATTGGTTTTTCATCCTCCAGACGACGAGGATCCCATGGCTGGTCGCTGTCGAAGAAAGAGACATCAGTAGCTTCTTACGGGACTTCGATACCTATTGATAGAACAAGCAGAGTCTATTTGTGTGTATATGATGTTAAGTTCAAAGGGATTTGGAGGGAGTAAAATGTTGTGGATCGTGCGTCGGTGGCACAGCGGTTAGGAGGCTCGCCGACCATGCACATGGTTCGGGGTTCGATCCTCGGCCGACTCACTCCTTTACCTCGCTGAGCCAGAAATAATGCTGATAAGGAGGAAAGGTTGGGCATGAGGCTAGCGACCCCTTCCTGTAAAATGAACATTGCTACAGAAACTTCAAGCCAGTAGCTTGTAGCCCTATGTTCCACTGGGAACGTGAAGGAATAAAAAAATGTTATGGATGGTGAAAGTAAAATTAAAACTTAATCGAAAAATTAAGTGAATTAGAAGCTCAGCAATGAGTTTAGTTCAGTAAGTAAAAATTAAATTGCGTAAAGATTCCGTTGCAATAATATCCAGACCTAGTTAGTATTATCTTCAAATGTCAAGGTGAAATTACACTTACTTAATCTTACTACTTATATCTTTAAAAGTAGAGACAATTTTACCAGTAAGATTAAGTAACTTCCTAAGTAGTTAGTAGCACAGGTTACTTGGACAAGATGATTATCCTCTGATACTGATAGGATTGTGAAATATTGTTCTTATCGATTATACTAACTGGGAAGATTTTGTCTATTACACTCAATAGTAAAAGATCATAAGTGGTGATAAAAAAAGCATAAGTAATATGTGTGTAAAACTTGGGGCACTGTGGTAGTAAGTAATTCCATATTAGTTTGTTCATTAGATATATCACACAGTGAAGAAACAGTATTATTTGCTGGATGACAATGTTTCGAACAAAATTTGTTGTTCATAATCATATCAATTATAATCACACGACTTCGAAACTTGAGTTGTATAATTTTCTTTGTCCTCTCCTATTTGTCGTATGGGTAGTTGAATTTTCCAGACATCTGAGACAGGTATTTAATCATTCCTATTACATGTATTTGCAGTTGATTCGATAAACAAAGCTTCTGTTATCAATCTCTCCCTATACCCTTTGACATTAGATTTTAAAACTGTCACCCTATTCCATCCTATTGTATGGTTGTGTGTGTGACTGCATGTAGTATAGCTAAACTATTCTCTAAATTTCTTATCTTATAAATGCATGGAGCTAAATGCCACTGACTGCTTGAGATGAACAGTTGTATAGCACCCATATCAACCAGTAGTGGTTGCTAGTCAGATCGAAGTGATCTAAACTCCTCTACCCGAGTAAATTATGAGTTTGATTTAACGTATTACTGATTCGCTCAAGTAGCTATCCAGAAATCAGGTTGTTTGAACTGATACGACTCTATGGGTCGAGTCATACTGGGTACAGCACTGATGAGGTCGGCCTCAAACGAGCGAGACATTCATACGGCGTTTAAATCACTTGTGTCTAGCTACCAAGCACTACTAATTGATGCGAGTGCTTTATAGGTACTTATCCTAACCAATCAATAGTATGGAGCGTCAAGATACTGATTCCTGAAAAATAAACAATATTAATAGAAAGGTTTATTCTGTTGGTTGCCTTAAACAGAAATGAATGGATACGAATAAGGAGAATTAGTGAAGATTAGGAGCACTGGTTAACTGTTTCACTCATGAAACTCCGGTCGACTGATCACACGACGAGTAGGTTACAATTCAGACAATCGAATTTATGATCTGTGAATTTGGATATAAGATCAGCCACTCATTGATGTTAGTTATTTAACTAAGTGATGTTGATTTGTGAAAAAGAAGCCACATTTAAACTAGTCACATTTGCGTCTAACCTAAAATTTAAACCAATTTAGACCGTTGAATTCCACGCTATGTTTACTAGGTGAAACACAGGTCAGAATAGTGATCTGGGTTCAGCTACACTACAGGTGCATATAAACCTGGTATGGAGAATGAAACTAAATAAAATAATGAGTCCACATGCTAATAAAGTCTTGGGTAGACAAATATCAACAACCGTTTGTTGTAACTTCATATGACGTGTTCCCTTGCTGGTCGGTTTCATCCAGTTAGTAAGAACAAGATTTTGACAGCTATGTTAGACGATGGAGTTGTCGACATTCTGAAATATATATGAGATCAATGAAGTAGGAACATATATTATTATTTATTATTGCTCCCTTGGGTTCCTAGTGGAACATAGGGCTTCAACTTCACGTCTCCACTTGCTTCTGTCTTCTGCTGTACTTTTCACCTGCATCCATGTTAGTCCATACTGTTTCAACTCCTCTTCACACGATCTCCTCCATGTCACCCTTGAACTGACGTCCCACTCGCCGCTCCCCTTTCGGGTTCCACTCGAGGGCTTGACGCACGATGTCACCCGGCGATCTCCTCAGCGAGTGACCGATCCATCTCCACTTTCTCCTGCATATTTGTTGGTTGGCGATTGGTTCTTGCTTTGTTTGTTCCCATAGTTCATTGTTGGTGATTCTTTCCGGCCCGGCTATCTGATCTTCATTATAGGGAGAAAAGACAGTTGTTGATCAAGGTGTGCAACAGGCTGTTGGAGATATTCTTTGTCACCCGCCGGCCAAGTTTCTGATCCGTATAGAAGAACTGACTTTACGTTTGTATTGAAAATCCGACCGGATTTTGTTGTTGATGCTGAGTGACGAAGATTTCCAGATTGGTTTTAGTTGGTTGATGAATGTGTTTCTCGCCTTCCCGATTCTCGCTCGAGTTGACATCCTCGTCCGTTCTGACTTCCTGTAGTTGAGACAATGCTCCGTAGATAAGTGAATGAAGTAACCTCTTTCAAATCCCTCCCGTTGATGGTGATTGGCGATGGATGTTGCTGTCCTTGTGGTTGTCAGTTGGTTATTTTCATAACCTCCGTCTTGTCTATGTTCACATGGAACTCTGTCTTCGCCAGCTGTTTCTTCGATCAGTTTATCCGTCGGTTTTCGCTTGTAAGTCTTCGATTTTGTGTGACATCAAACATAAATCATCCACGCGCGAAATCCAGGTCTTCTAGGTTCTTCGCGTCGGTCCAGGATAGTCCTGACTTCTCGTTTCCTGCTGTCTGACGCATAATCCAGTCCACCACAGTTAGGAATATCATTGGTGATAATAAGCCAGCACGCTTGTCTGACTCCTGTGTTCACTCCAAACGCCTCGCTGAATTTTTCGTTGTGAATCCCTTGACAGGTGCCGCTGTTGTCATACAGCTAATGAATAAGGTTGATGAATATTTGGGCACTGTACGCCGTAGTACTCGAGTAGTTTCCAAATTACTTCACGGTCAACGCTGTCGAAAGCCTTCTCAAAGTCTATAAAGTTGAGATAGAGGTTTGATTGCCATTCCATGCTTTGTTCGATGATGATGCGTAGAGTTGCGATTTGGTGAGGACATTATTCACCTTTCCTGAATCCAGCTTGTTCTGGTCGGAGTTCTGTCTCCAGTGCGTCCTTTAATCTCTCCAGGATGATACGACTCAGGATTTTACTTGGCGTCGACAGGAGCATGATTCCTTGCCAGTTCTTGCAGAGTGAGGCGTAAGTCACCCTTCTTTGGTAGTTTCACGAGGTAACCTTTTTACCAGTCAGTAGGCACCTTTCCCTCTTTCCAGACCTGTTGCAATAATGGAGTCAGCATAACTGCTGTCATCCCTGGGTCCGCATTCAGGGGGTATTTCATCTGGTCCAGCTTCTTTCCCAGCTTAGCAAAATCTGTATTATATTTGTCTGGAACAAAAGACTGATATTTGAATTTTTTGGTTACAGGATGTAATCATGAGCTGACATCAGTTAGAGAATCGTTGGAAAACCTGGGAGTACTGGACAGCTGTTTCGTCCTAGTTTGGGACTCTTCAGCAGTACGCACTCACCGGGATTCGAACACAGGACCTTTCGGTTACAAGGCGAGCTCGTATACCATTAAGTCACTGGGACCCAATCCAATGGCCCATGAATTCTAACTTCTGCCAATTCACGATATAGCGCAACCGCTAGCCAACGTCTTCGGTGAGTATTTTCCTCACACCCGACCTGGGGCCCAGTGGCTTTATTGTATACGAGCCCGCCTTGTAACCAGAAGGTCCTGGGTTCGAATTCCGGTGAGTGCGTACTGCTGAAGAGTCCCAAACTAGGACGGAACAGCTGTCCAGTACTCCCAGGTTTTCCAACGATTCTCTAACTGATGTCAGCTCATGATTACATCCTGTAACCAATCAGCCAAATCCCTACAAATCAA